TCAACCTCTGTGCCTGCTTCTTTGAGACTCAGTTTCCTCATCTGTCAACAGGGGACACAATGGCCCCACCCCATGCATTGAGTAGGGCATCCCCGGGGGAGCAAGAGGCCCCGAGAAGAGTTTCAGGGCTGGTGACAGCCTGAGAAGTGAAAGGGAGAAGCAGAGTGAGTGTTGGGGTCCTGGGAACCAGGGTTAGGGCAGCGGGAAGTGCAAGTCATCATGCAGAGGGAAGTGGTCCTGGGATGCTGGGGGAGGGGCTAGGTGACCCACTCTGAGGTCAGCAATGCTCTTGTGACCAAGGCTAGCAGCTGCAGCCATGCCTCTGGCCAGGCCCAGCCACCTATGGGCCCTCTGCCCCTCGTGATCACCCACCACCCTGGGCCCTGCTTCAGGTTGCTCTCCCTCCTGCCTGTCTTCAATGCCCTTTTCTTCTTCTTCTTCCTTTTTTTTTTTTTTTTTTTGGAAATGGAGTTTCACTCTTGTTGCCCAGGTTGGAGTGCAATGGTGTGATCTTGGCTTACCGCAACCTCTGCCTCCCAGGTTCAAGCGATGCTCCTGCCTCAGGCTCCCGAGTAGCTGGGATTACAGGCATGCGCCACTACACCTGGCTAATTTGTATTTTTAGTATTTTGTATTTTTAGTAGAGACAGGATATCTCCATGTTGGTCAGGCTGGTCTTGAACTCCCAACCACAGGTGATCCACCTGCCTCAGCCTCCCAAAGTGCTGGGATTACAGGCGTGAGCCATCATGCCCGTCCCCAACTGCCCCTCTTCTAGAGAGCTTTCCTCTAGGTGCCTTCAAGAATGCAGAGAGAGGGCCAGTAATGCGCCTGCCTGTGTTATTCTCTGGTCTGTGCTAACTCAGCCTTTCCTGCTGCCCTACAGGGCGCAGGTGGAGGTGCAATTAATGGACTAAATGAGGTAATGAAAAAGATTGAGAAATTTTTTTTTCAAGATGAAAAAGGAGTGGAGGATAGTACCTCCCATTTCTGCATCTAAACTCCTTGGTCTGGAAGTCCTTTCTTGTGTCTGACTTAAATACATCAAGCTGAATTTCAGATGTTGAGCAACGTTGGAGGAGAAGCAAGATAACACTGTGCTTAGTGAAGGGGCTCCAGCTTCACCACTGGCTGGCACATGACTGGACCTCTCTGTGCCTCAGTCTCCTCATCTGTAGAAAGAGGAGAGTTAGTGCCCACTTCATTAGGTTGTCCGATGAAATCGGCTAATGTATACAAAACACTTAGAACAACGCCTGGCACTGGTGGAGATCAACAAACGTCAGCAGTCTACCCGAAAGAATTGAAAGCAGGAACATGAACAGATGTTTGCATACTCGTGTTCTTTTGTTTGTTTGTTTTTGTTTTGAGACAGGGTTTTACTCTGTTGCCCAGGCTGGAGTGCAGTGGTGCAATCATGGCTCACTGCAGCCTTAACCTGCCAGGCTCAGGTCGTTCTCCCACCTCAGCTTCCCATGTAACTGGGACTACAGGTGCACCCCACAACACTCGGCTAATTTTTTGTATTTTTGGTGGAGACAGGGTCTCACTATGTTGCCCAGGTTGGTCCTGAACTTCAGGGCTCAAGTGATCTACCTGCCTGGGCCTCCCAAAATGCTGGGATTACAGGCATGAGCCACCACACCTGGTCTACACCCATGTTTTATAGCAGCACTGTACGCAGTAGCCAAGAGATAGCAACAACCCAGTGTGCACAGAGAGATGAATGGATGCACAGTGTAGCCCATCCATCCAATGGAATATGATTCAGCCTTAAAAAGGAAGGGAATTCTGACACCTGCTGCCACATGAATGCATCTTGAAGACATTATGCTGAGTGAAATAAACCAGACACAAAAGGACAAACGCTGTGTGACTCTATTTATTTGCAGTACTGAGAATAGTCAAGACCACAGAGACAAAAGGTAGAGTGGTGGTTGCCAGGGCCCCGGGGAGAGGGAGAGGGGTGTTAGTGCACAGTGGGTAGAGTTTCCGTTTTGCCAGGTGGAGATTTCTGCAGGTGGAGGGAGATGTTGGTTGCACAACCCTGTGAATATACTTAATGCCACTGAACTGTGCGCTTAAAAGATTATAAATTGCATTATGTATATTGTACCATAATAATTTTTAAAAAGTCAGCTGTCGTTGCTCTGGCAGAGGGAAGGGAGGGACGTCCCCTGTGTCCTGGCCTCTGAGGCCCTGGGTTGCGTGCGAGGAGCTGATGGTGGCTCCTGGCCAGGTGCTGGCACACTCGCCTTCTAGGCTAAATGGGGAGGTCACTGCCAGTCTGTTCCTGTCTGCTGCCCTCCCCGCCAGGCAGAGGCCCCCGCTCGCTGCCCCTGGCCTGTGCCCTGGGGAGCTGGGGAATGGGACAGCCTCTGGCCACTGGTCATAAACATCCCCACCCAGTATGCGATGCTGGCTTCTTGCTGGGGTGGAGCCCTAGGCTGGCCTTTGGCTCCTCTGGAAGAGCCTGGCCTCTTGGCAACTGTTTTCTGCATCTGCGAGAAGAGGGTAAGGACTGCTCCTGCCCCATGGGCCCCATTGGCTGTCATCCCTTGGCCCTCCATGCTGCCTCATTTTCAGAAGACTTTCTTTGTCTTGAGAACTTCACACATGTGACCGTTGACCCTCATGCCTGAGCTTAGAGAAGGGGAGTGACTGGTGCAGACAAAAGTCCAAGGCAGCAGCCTCATTTCCCAATCCCCGGCCGGTGCTCTGGGTGGGCCACTGCCGTCAGTGGGTGACAAGGGTGGCAGCCCCTCCTCAGCCCTGCAAAGCCTGTGCAGACCAGGGGCTGCCTCCAAGGGCCTAAGGCCTGACAACGCCCTCCTGGCAGATACAGACTTCCAAGCAATTTCCCGATCTGCTTGGGGCTGGGAGGGGAGGGGGTGGGGTGGGGTGGGGGAACAGAGTCTGGCAGGAGAGTCTTGTGGAGATTGCACAATGAGGCCACAGCAGCCAGCCATGAAGGCAGCCACGGGCCAGGGCCCCTCAGGCCGTATCCCCATCGCCCCTGTGTGGATGAATTCCATCTGTGCAGTGCCGATGGAAGGACCCTCCCAGCCCCAGGACACTGTGGCTCTGTGGACTCATCTGAAAAATGTCATCCCTGGAGCCCTAGGAGAGAAGGGGTGGGGTTGGCAGCCTTAACGCCCCATCCTGGCGGCCTCCCGCATCCGCTCCCCCACAGGTTCCCCAGAGACAGGATGGATGGCAATCCAAGTGCAAACCTGGCGCTTGGCCACCACCCTTGAAGAGGAAGTTCTCAGTTCCCAGGGCACCCTGAACCCACACCGCCCCCACTCCGCTGGCCCCCCTGGTCCTGGAAGACCTGTTGCTAGGCTGGAGAGGGAATAGCAGAGTGAGCAGGGGGCGGGGAAAGAGGCCAAACAAAAGAGGGGAGGAGCACAGGCCCCAGTGAGGCAGGAGGGAAGCCCGTGCCCAGCGGGAAATTCCTAAATGACGGGGGCCTTTCCAGAGGGCAGAAATTCCTAGCGTGTGAAATAAGGAAGGAAGTTAATCTCCACTGGGTTCCCTTCACAGCCCTCTTCCATCCTCCCCACATGCCCCACCTCCACATCTCCCAAGACAGACCCTGAGAGAGAGTTTGGATGGGGAAACAGGCCTGGAAACGGAGGCCTGCGCGGAGTGGGCAAAGTCGGCTTGATGATTAAGACGAGGCCCTGGAGTCTGGGCCTTGGACCCCTCCCCTTCTGCCTGTTCCAGCAGCCTGTGGGTCCAGCCCTAGCCCTAGAGGGAGAAAGGCTCCAGTGGGAGTCCCGTAGGCCTGGCTCGGAACCCCACTCCGCTACTTAAAGCGGTGCGACCCGGGTCAGCCACTTCACCTTTCCGCATTTACGCATTTCAAGCAAGGCTTGACGACGGGAGGGGCCCCAGGCCCTGTGCACAGCCGCGCGGCCAGCACTCTGGCCAGCCGTGTAGCGCCCTTCCCCTTAGGGGGCCTCCTCCGGGAAGCCCCCGTGCCCTGTCTCCTTGTGGCCGCGGTGATACCGGAACACTTTAGAGGGGCAGCTGGGGGAATTGGAGTGGGAGTGGCGCTCCCGCAGCTGGAGCCAGTCTGTGACGCAGGAACGCGGCCAAGCGCGCCCCTTCCAGGCGGCCTATCAGGAGCCGTCGTCCGACAATGGCCCCGCGCCTGACAGCCCCGTCCTTCGGACTCCCGAACTCCACATACCATGCGACGTGCGGCCAGCCCCCCGCCCCTGCCCGGCTGCTGGGAGGAAGTGACCGCGCCCCGCATCCCCCGCTGGGCAGGCCGGGCGCGCCCGGCCCCCGGGACGCAGAGACACAGCCGGGCCGCACTGGGCCTTGGCCTCCGCCCGCGGGTTTTCCGCGGTTGCGGGGGGCGGGGCAGGCGGGGCGGGGCAGAGTCTGCGACTATTTCAGGCCTTGCGGAACTGGGGCCAGGACAGCGGCGGCCCGGCCAGGACACGGTAAGTGACCTCCGCCTCCACGCGTCCATGCCCCGCCGCTCCGCGCGGCTCCTCGCCCGCCCCGACCCCATGCCCCGCCGGATTCCCCTAGGGAACAGCCTGTCGCGGCGGCGGGGACAGGACCGGACTGGACGCTCCCAGGGACCCTGGCCTGGGGCAGCCCCGCTGCCAGGGAAACTGAGGCCCTGGCGCCCAACGTCCGCGCGTCCGGGCGCACAGGCGCCAGGGCTGGCGCTCGCGGCGGAGGGCTGGGTCCTGCCAGAGGCAGGGAGGGCGGGGCTGGGGCAGTCACAGGGATCTCCCCTCCATTAGCTGCAGGAAGGCCCCAGGTCCGGCGTTACTCTCCAACCGGGCGACACAGGCCAAGTCACTTCCTCGCCTGTGCCCGGGTGTCCTCATCGGGGGATGGGTCCGCCTTCCACATCCTGCCCAGGACTGAAGGAGCCGGGCCCAGCGAGCTCCCGGGAGGCGCGTGGACATCAGGCGTGTGGCGGGGAAGGCGAGCCAGACCAGTGGGCCTGAGCAGAGGCAAGGCAGCGGGAGGCTGGGGGGCGCTGTTGAGCCACGGGCTGTGACCACACTACGAGCCTCGGAGCAGGGCCCTTCCTGCCTCAGTGGGCCCAACCAGCGGCAAGGCTTAAAGGAATGCCCCTCCTCCCCTTCCCTCCTGGCTGCACCCACTCGCTGCCGCCTGCAGGACAGACTCAGGACACAGGAGACTCACCCCCACTGAGGCCCAGATAGGCGCCCAGCCCTTGGCCGCGCGGTTTGGCCACATCCCCTCAGCAGTACTGTGAGGTGGGGGTCCTCATCCCCATTTCAAAGACGGGGAAACTGAGGCTTGTGAAGGAAGGAGGTGTGCAGTGCATGCACTAGTGAGAGGTGTGCTGAGCCTGCACCGAAACCGTTTCTTTCCAAGGCACCAGCTGCCTCGGAGAGCGGAGACCTGGGATGAGGCCCAGAGGGCTGCAGCAGGACCTTCAGGTGCTCTGGGTTTTGTGTCACAGAGGGGAGAAGGTGGCGATGCTATGAGTGTCCTGCGGGAGCTGCGCCTGGAGGTGGGACAGAGTCTAGTACATGTGGAGTGGGACAGAGCCTAGTACATGTACGGTGGGACAGGGAAGGCTGAGGTGAGGCTGGCAGGGAGCATTGCTGGTAAGGGCCACCCTCCCCCACTCCAGGAGAATGGCAGAGGTGGGGCTTGGGCACCCAGGGTGGGGCTGAGCGGCCCTGCCAGACAGACCAGCTCCTGCAGGTGCTTGGCATGCACCTGAGAGGGACTGGGAAGCGAGGTTGGGGCACTGGGTGGGGAGCAGAGGTGCCCCATGGCCTTGCCCCTGAGGCTCCCTGGAGCATGCCCCTCTTGGTCCTGGAGTGGAATGCGCAACCCAAATGGCACCAGGGAGGCCAGTGCCATCCAGGAGTGTGGGACTTTGCCCAGGGCATTGGGTGAGCATGGCAGGAGCTGGGGGTGTGAGGAGCCCGGGCTTCCTGTCCCTCAGGCGGCTCTGGCCAAGCCCCTCCAGGATGGGGACAGGGTAGTGGGGATGGTGGAGGCAGCGGGGCCATGGGAAGAGTCTGATGGACCCAACTGAGCCCCCATGGCTGCTGTGGTTGGGGCAAACACCTCCTACTCAGCCTCAGTTCTCCTTCTGGATGGTGGGTCATCCTGCTTGCCTTGCCGGGCTGTTTCAGGGGTCACTTGAAGTTACCGTGATACATGAGACAAGGCTGCATGCATTTCATTTTGGGGTGGGTCAGACAGGTGGCGTCATGGTTACAGGTCACCCCAGTTCTCGGGGAGGCCCAGCCCCTGCCTGCTTCCCCCTTTCCGGTCAGTCATGGTCTTCTCCAGTGGACTTGGTCTTGCTTTGACAATGGTCAGGTGCTGGGAGGGGACTTGGGGGAGGCTCAGGTCTTGCCTCTCTGGATGTAGCTTGCAGGACAGCTGGGGATGTGGAGGCAGGGGGAGAGCTGGGCTCTGGGACCAGGTGACCTGAGTTCCAAACCCAAGCTGTTCGCCATAGGGACAGTTTAAGCCAAAATAACACCCTTCCAGATGAGAGAAAGGAAGAGATGGGATGGGCACCCAGGAAGGCTGCAGAAACTGGAAGCTTTTGTGATGATGCTATCATCCCATATGGGAGCGGGCAGAGGGGGTGGGAGCCAGGAAGCCTGGGTTCTGGACCCTAGTTGCTGTGTGACTTCAGGCAGCCCTGTGACTTGCTGAGCCCCTTGCCCCCAGTGATGTGTGAAAGGCTCTCTGAGGTCCCACCCACTGTGGTTCTGTAGACCCCAGTCAGGCTCTGCCCGCTTCGTGGCCCAGCCGGAGCAGCTGTGTTTCTGTGACCCCACCGCTGGATCAGAACTGGGCAAGATGGCAGAGGGGCTGGGTCTGGGCAGGGGGAGGCTGGTCTCAGGCCAACTTCTGGTGTTCTAGACCCCGGCATGTCCCTGACCCTTCTGGACCTCTGTTCCGTTCTGTCCAAAGGGACAGAGCACATTCCCCGCCTCTTCCCTAGGGTCCCGTGGGATCCAGGGAGGTGTTCACTCCCTGCTTCCTGCCTAGAGAGTGGGCTGTCAGGGAAGGATTTGCCCAAATAAAGTGAAGGCCCCCCCTCTGTGTGGCAGGCTTGGCGTCCCCGGCCTCTTCCCTGCTTCTGGGACTGTGAAGTATTGGAAGGGAAGCTGTGTGTGGTGAGATGCTCATGGCCAACGAGGGAGTATGGTTGTTGGTGCTCATCTGGGCCAGGAGAGGAGCAGAGCCCTAGTGGTCTAATGGGTGAAACAGACTGAGTGCACTCAATGCAGCCAGCACAGCTGTGTGCTTCGGCCTGGGAGCCAGGGCCGGTCCATGGTGACCACTGATGCCTTCACCCCCACCCCACAGGAGCCTGCAGGCCTGAGCCAGGGTGACACTGAAGATGATGACCTTCTTCCAAGGCCTCTCGGGCCATCAGCCTGTGCAGGGTACCCTCGACTTCCCCAGAAGCCCCCAAAAGTTGCCGTCCACATCAGAGGCAGAGTCAGAGACCTCCATGTCAGTGGCCTCCTCTGAGGACCTGGTGCCACCCCTGGAGGCTGGGACAGCCCTATACAGGGAGGAGGAAAAGACAGTGAAGAAGAAGAAGGAGAAGAAGAAGAAGTCCAAAGGCCTGGCCAATGTGTTCTGCGTCTTCACCAAAGGGAAGAAGAAGAAGGGTCAGCTCAGCTCAGCGGAGCCCGAGGGCACAGCCAGGTCCAGGCAGGGGCAGGATGGCCCGCCCCCAACAGGTGCGCTGGGACCCTGGGCTAGAGCTAGTCTGGGGCCTGGACGGGGTTGGCGCTCATCCGCGTGAGTGAGCCACTTGCACAGTGGGCCGGCAAATGGGGTTGGAAGGCGCATCTGTTTCTCTGCTTTCACCTGTGCCCCAATCTGCGGGGCTGGGAGCGGGGAGACCAGGCTTTCAGCCCAGTCCGGAACACCGACATCACCCTTTAGGGTGTTGGCCGCCGGCCCTGTGCGCGTCTAGGGTACGAGGGCCCTGCCGGGCGCTGGCCGCCCCCCCCCCCCGGTGACCGGCGGGCTGGGGCCAGGGCTGACGCGACTTTCCCGGCGCAGTGGAGGAGCTGAAGGCGGCGCTGGAGCGCGGACAGCTGGAGGCGGCTCTGCCGCTGCTGGCGCTGGAGCGGGAGCTGGCGGCGGCGGCGGCGGCGGGCGGTGCCAGCGAGGAGGAGCTGGTGCGGCGCCAGAGCAAGGTGGAGGCGCTGTACGATCTGCTGCGCGACCAGGTGCTAGGCGTGCTGCGGCGGCCGCTGGAGGTGGCGCCAGAGCAGCTGCGCCAGGCGCTGGCCGTGGTGTCGGAGCAGGAGAGCGAGGACCGCCAGGCGGCGGCGGCGGCGGCGGCGGCGGCAGCGGCGGCAGGGCCGGGGACCTCGGGACTGGCGGTCACGCGCCCGCGGCGCTGGCTGCAGCTGTGGCGTCGAGGTGTGGCAGAGGCGGCCGAGGAGCGCATGGGCCAGCGGCCGGCCGCGGGCCCCGAGGTCCCCGAGAACGTCTTTTTGCACTTGGGCCGCACCATGAAAGAGGACCTGGAGGTCGTGGTGGAGCGACTGAAGCCGCTGTTCCCGGCCGAGTTCGGCGTCGTGGCGGCCTACGCCGAGAGCTACCACCAGCACTTCGCGGCCCACCTGGCCGCCGTGACGCAGTTCGAGCTGTGCGAGCGCGACACCTACATGTTGCTGGTCTGGGTGCAGAACCTCTACCCCAAGTGAGCGGGCTCGGGGCTGGGCCCGGACCAGCAGGGAGGGTGTCCTCTGTAGGAGGGGTGTCGAGGTGCCGCTGGCAGCTCTTAGTGAGGCTGGTGCTTACAGAGTTTTGAGTCGGAGAATGCAGGGGTGGGATTTGGACTCCCTGGGGCAGAGCCTGGACAGGCAGAGACTGGGCCTGGACACAGGGATAAGGCTGGGGCTGGGTCAGCTTTGGCAAAATCCTTAATTTCCTGGGCCTCAGTCACATTCTGCTGTTGGGGAAACTGAGGCACAGAAAATGGTAGGGATTTCATTCATTCACGAGCGCTCAGTCTGAGGAGGGGGCAAAGCAATCAATAACCATCCAGAGCCGGAAGGGCTGTGGCAGCAGAGGCCAGGCCCCGTGCAGAGCATGGGCCCAAAGCAGGCCTGGAGAAGTCAGGGAAGCCAGCCTGGAGGAGGTGAAAGCCAGCGGTCCTCTGAGCCGGGGAATCAGGCCAGGAGGCAGGAGGAGGGGTGATAGGGCACGCGGGGAAGAAGGTGGGAGGAGGGTCGGTGCTCCTGAGCATGTCCTCTTCCAGGGCACTCTGGAGCTGAGCAGAGCTTGTCAGAATGTTTGGATTTATTGGGCAGGCTATGCGGGCACCCCCAGGCAGCAGAGTTCAAGGGCCATGTGTCTTGTTAGACCCCCATTGTGTAGGGTTACCCTCTGAGCCCACGGCAGAGCTGGAGCCCCTCAGGTGGGAGGCTGGCTGTGCAGCTGGTACCCCTGCTGAGCACAGCCTCAGGCATCCCCTGACTCCATGGATCCCTGGGCATGCCCATCATTCACCTGGTCTGCATAGGGAGAAGCTTACTGCAATGTGGAAAGGCCCAGGGCAGGGGAGTCCAGGGGCTGTTATTGTGGGGCTTGGCCACTGCTGGCCCCAGATGCTAGTGTGAAACTTTAGGAAGGAAGCTCAGAGGTGTAGACAGTGTGGGCAGCGTCTGCCGTCTCGGGGGCCTTTGGGGGTCCTATGGGCTCAGTCACTGTTGAAGCGTCAGCCTCGGCACAAGGATAGAGAAAGGGTCCAGTGGGGAGGGTGGGAGAGGGGTCAGCAGGGCATAGGGGAACTGGCACAGGGCAGGGGCCGTGGGAGAGATAGCCCAGCCCAGAGCCAGTTCCCGCTTGCTCGTCCTGGCTCACCAGGAAATGCCAGGCACCTGCACCCATGCCTGCCAGTCTTCCTGTCCCAGTGACCTCGGGGTCTGCAGGCCTGGGGTTAGCAACAGGCAACTAAAGCCAAGCTGGGCATGGAGCCCTGGTGAGAGGGTGTCCAGGGGGGCATCGTTGAACCCTGTGTGCCAGAAATGTGGGGAATGGAGGGACACAGCTGCATCTGGATTGGGTGAGGGGCAGAGAGGTCATTTGTAAGCCTCTAGGCAGACAAAGGCCCCTTAGGAAGTGCCGGGGCTGGGCAGTGCCCTGGGAGCTCTTAGGAAGTGCTGGGGCTGGGCAGTCCCCTGGGAGCTCTTAGGAAGTGCCGGGGCTGGGCAGTCCCCTGGGAGCTCTTAGGAAGTGCCAGGGCTGGGCAGTCCCCTGGGAGCTCTGGGGCGCTGCAGAGGCGCCAGGAGAACGAGCCGAGATGCATCTGGGGAGCAGTTTGGGGCAGCCCTTCCTGCCCATTCTGGCCTACTCCTGGGATTGGGAGGTGGCCGGGGCTGTCGAGATGCCCAAGACCTGCAGGGCTGGAGCGCAGTGGGCTGGGAGTTGGCTGGATTCCAGGGCTGCTGTGACTAGGAGCAGGGTTTTATCTGGGTGACAGGTAGCCTTGGAGCAGGAAGAAGATCAGATCTTAAAGGAGGCTCTGTCTGCTGGGTGGAGCAGGAATTGTTGGAGGTGAGGGAAGGAGCAGAGAGGCCGGGAGGAGGCTGTTGCAGTGAGCCAGCGGGAAGCTGGTGGGAGTCAGCCAGGGCGCCAGAGTGGCGTGAGGCTGCCGATTTTGGGGGCTCTTTTGGAGCAGGACCTAATGGGGATGGGTGAGAGGGTCAGAGGAGGCACGATGACTTCAGGGTTTCTGTTCCAAACCAAACTAAGTAGATGGAGGACCCATCATCTGAAATGGGAACAAGGGTGGGCGTGCGGGAGGGTGTGCTGGGCAGTCTGGGCCTGCCAGAGACCGAGTCTGAGGGCCTGGGCTCTAGCTTGAGGGGTGGTGCTGATTGGGTATACCTGTCCTCATGCCAGCCTCCCCTGCCTGCAGTGACATCATCAATAGCCCCAAGCTGGCGGGTGAGCTGCAGGGTGTGGGGCTCGGGAGCCTCCTGCCCCCCAGACAGATCCGGCTGCTGGAGGCCACATTCCTGTCCAACGAGGCGGTGAGTCTCCACCTGGGCCAGGGAGAGGCAGGGAGGTGGCGCAGGAGAGGCTCAGAGACAGGCAGGACGTGGGCAGGGAGCTCGACGGGTCTTCCAGGTGAGCGAGGTGATGGATAGTGCCCCAGTGACCTGCCCTCCTCCCCCAGGCCAATGTGAGGGAGCTGATGGACCGAGCTCTGGAGCTAGAGGCACAGCACTGGGCTGAGGATGTGCCTCCCCAGAGGCTGGACGGCCACTGCCACAGCGAGCTGGCCATCGACATCATCCAGGTACTGCGATCTGCCCCAGGGCACATGTACCGCCCGTGCATGTGCACGGGAAGCGCCATGCACATTCCGTCCTGTGTGCATACCCATGCCCACCTCGGGGCACCCCCTCTGTTCCAGCCTGTTTCCTCCCTATCCCCTGCCCCCTTGTCCAGGCAAGCCCCTGCTCAGCTCACCCAACACCACCCCGCAGATCATCTCCCAGGCCCAGGCCAAGGCCGAGAGCATCACGCTGGACTTGGGCTCACAGATAAAGCAGGTGCTGCTGGTGGAGCTGCCTGCATTCCTGAGGAGGTGGGTGTGTGCCCAGGATGGGGTCCCTGTAGCCACCTCTCTCAGAGCCACGGCCCCTCCCTAGTGCCTCAGGTGGGGAGCTGAGCTGGCTCCCCGCCCTCCACCCCCGTCCCTGTCATTCTGAGCCAGGAGTTGTTTCCCACTCAGCCAGGGCACTGAGATCCTCAGGTGGTCTGACCTCCACCAGGATTCAGTGTGGGAACCTCCTGCGCCCACCCCATCAGCAAAGCTCTCAGCAGAGCAGCCTCTAGCTTCCAAGAAGATGCCTCGAGAGGGACTGAGACCCCGCCACCCCTTCACACAACAGTCCCAGTCTCCACCGCTCGAATTTTACCTGCTCTCTCCCTCTCAACCTCTGAGTGCTTCTCCAGCCAACCACACCCTCACTCGTACCTGGTCTGCCAGTTCTAGAGAGGGCCTGGGAGAAGGGCTGGGGGCAGCAGAGATGGGCTGGTACCCACTTCAGGAGCCCTGGCCTTAGCTTGTGAAGCCAGTTCCATGATGCCCAGGGACTAGTGGCCCCTCCCTGGGCTATGGGCAGCCAGACAGAAAAGTGAACCCCGGGAGCTGGCCTGGAGGGCGGGGAGGCTGCTGCTGCCGTCCCAGCGTTTGGACTGGTCCTGAATTTGCCCTTTCTGGTTTCACCAGCTACCAGCGCGCCTTTAGTGAATTTCTGGAGAGAGGCAAGCAGCTGAGGAATTACAGGGCCAATGTCATTGCCAATATCAACAACTGCCTGTCCTTCCGGTGAGAGTGTTGGGAGGGGCTTGCGGGAGTGGGAGTCACTCGGCAGGCAGGAGAGGGGAGCTGGGAGGTGGAGGGAGGAGGAGCTGCTGAGGTCAAGAAGTGGAATTCAAACCAGCAACATGTGTGAGGACGCCAGGGCCTGCAGCACCAGCAGCAAACATTTCCCAGGTGCTGGCTGGGGCAAGCACACGGGCAGATGTTTCAGCCATTATTTTATCCTTAAAGCAACCCTGTGAAGTAGGTGTAGTGATCTGTCTATTGGGCAGATGGGCAAATCACTGGAGGAGACTAACTTGCCCTCGGTTACAAGGGGATGTGGTGGAGGAGTGTCCTGAGGGCGTGGAGAACATGGATGGGAGGACTTGATCCCACAGAGAATGGGGAGCCATTGAGGGTTCTAGAGTGAAGAGAGGGGGCTGCCTGGCTCCCTGGGTACGGAGCTATAGGCTGAGCAGGGCTGGGGTGACCTCTCTGCCTCCACCTTCCAGGATGTCCATGGAGCAGAAGTGGCAGGTACCCCAAGACACCCTGAGCCTCCTGCTGGGCCCCCTGGGTGAGCTCAAGAGCCATGGCTTTGACACCCTGCTCCAGAACCTGCGTGAGGACCTGAAGGTAGTGGGAACCTCTTGCCCTCAGGAGCCCAGTGTTGGGGGGCCCAGGGAGGGACTGGGAAGTGCCCCTGGGGAGGAGTGGCAGAGGCAAAGATGTGGATACGACGCGCTCCAGGCCTGTGAATGGCACTGCGAGCCAGCTCTGGTGCAGCAGTAATGCCCGGTTGGGGACCCTGGCAGGCTCTGAACTCAGCCCATCATGCCCTGGGGCTTGGCCTGAGAGGGGCCACCTGGGGCTGGGAGGGCCTGGAAAAGTTTCACTGCCCCTCCCCAATTCAGACCCAGCCCAGTCCCAAGCCTGCAGACATTTTTCCTCCAATCCCCGCAGCCCCTCCTGTCTACCCCTTCCCCGCTCCTGACTCCCAGCGACTGAGGCTCAGGGTCATCGGCAGCCAGGGTTACATCTGTTGTGGGCCAAGAAATCCACAGAAAATGCTGTGAAAACAAGCATATTCTTTAGCAGGGTGTAAAGTGGGGGTCTCTTGAAAGGAAGGGGAGAGGTTCTCTGCCTGGTGTTAGGGGCTAGCGGCCATGAGTGGCCTGAGTGTGGTGGAAGCCCGAGCAGTGACCCCAGATCCCTTGGCACTGATCTCCCAGGCCCAGCCAAGCACAAGGTCTTGTTTATGAAGGAATTTATTTATTTAAGAGGCAGTGGACTTGGCCTCCGGGCCGGCAGATAGGCTCTCCTGGCTCCTGAGCTGCAGCTGGGTGACCTTGGAGAAGGGTGCACAGAGCCGGCTCCCACTTCCTGTCTGTGAGCAGGGATGTGAGGTTGGCCCGGGTTCCCTGGGAGTCCTTGAGCACCCCCCCTGCTCCGCCAGGCACAGGTGTTGGTGTGTGTCTGTGTCTGCGTGTCTGCGGCTGGCAGCCCTTCCTCTCCAGGGCGTGACCAGACATCCTGCCCCTCCTGTCTCAGCCGCTATTCAAGAGGTTCACGCACACCCGCTGGGCGGCCCCCATGGAGACTCTGGAAAAAATCATCACCACCGTGGACGTCAGGCTGCCTGAGTTCTCAGAACTGCAGGACTGTTTCCGGGAGGTGAGGGGGCTCTGGGCTGGTGGCTGGGCCTCAGGGAATGGGGGCAGGCCGAACACGCACACTAGCATGTCTGTGTACACTCACTCACATGTGCTCACACACGTGAACACGTGTGTTTGAACACGCACATGTGAATGCACAAGCATATGAACACACGTGAATGCACGATCATGTGAACACACGCACATGTGAACACACACGCACGTGACCACACACACACATGCGAACACACACATGTGAACACAAGAGCATGTGAACACATATTGAACACACGGGCACATGTGAACACTCACATTTGAATGCACGAGCATGCGAACACACACATGTGAACACAAGAGCATGTGAACACATATTGAACACACGGGCACATGTGAACACTCACATTTGAATGCACGAGCATGCGAACACACACATGTGAATACACACATGTGAACACACACATGTGGATGCATGAGCACGTGTGCAGTCTTTTGCTCTGGCATCTGCCTCTCCCTGGAGTCCTGGCTACAAGGCTTCAAGGGAGGTGGTGAGCTCCCCATCAGCAGACAGCTCACACGCCTCTGGCTGCTTGCCCTCCCAGGAGCTCATGGAGGCCGTGCACCTGCACCTGGTGAAGGAGTACATCATCCAGCTCAGCAAGCGGCGCCTCGTCCTCAAGACCGCTGAGCAGCAGCAGCAGCTGGCTGGGCACATCCTGGCCAATGCTGACACCATCCAGCACTTCTGCACCCAGCACGTAAGCCCCTGCCCACCTCTCCCAAGCTCCTCTGAAATGGCTGCCTCTTCTCCCCTAGCCCTTTCAGGGTCGGAGATAGGCCATTGGTGCCTCTCCAAGCCCAAGGAGTTGCTGACCCGAGCCTCTGGAGGCCTGGGTCCCTCCAACCACACCTACTCCTGCAGGGCTCCCCGGCGACCTGGCTGCAGCCTGCTCTCCCCACGCTGGCAGAGATCATTCGCCTGCAGGACCCCAGTGCCATCAAGATTGAGGTGGCCACTTACGCCACCTGTTACCCTGACTTCAGGTGAGAGCATGGGGCACCTCAGGACCCCTGTCACATCACTGCGGCCAGGGCCTCACAGGGCTGCCTTTGGAAACCCAGATCCTGGCAGCTGCCCACGTGCCAGTCACTGTGTGAACCTCACCAGGGCCTCACTCTTGTGGCCTTCACCACAGCACTACGAGGCCAATCCTTTTTCCATTGCCATTTCACAGAGGAGGCCCGGAGAGCTCCCAGGATGCCTCCAAGGTGACATGGCTAGTTAGTGTCTGGCCATGCAGCCATGGCCCACACTCTTAGCTTTGCCTGACGCTGCCTCTCAGAGGAGACTGAGACCAGAGAGGCCAGGTTCACCCAGTCTGGGGGGCTTCTGGGGCCTGGGGCCATGCACTGGGACCAGGGCTCATATTGGGGAGTGGAGGCTTAGCCCCTGGCTGCCTGAGGCTCTGGTGGGCCAGGGACATTGTTTCTTTCTGGCTGGGTCCTCTGACATGTTAGGTAAGTTTGAGTGGCTTTTGACGGGGTTGACCCCAGCTTAGCCAAGTCCAGCCCCTGTCTGATCCATTCCACCCATCCATTCATTCACCCACCATACAAGCACCCATTTACTCACCCACCCGTTCCTTCACCCATCTGGGTATCTGTCTATCTTCTCACCCATCCATCACCTGTCTACCCATCCACCCACCCACCCACCCACCCATCTATCCATCCACCTACCCATATAAGCATCCATCCACCCATCTACTCATCCATCCATCCCTCCATGCATTTAGCTATCCATCCACTCAACCACCCACCCACCCACCCATCCACCCATGCATCTACTCCATGTGCCCATCCCTCCACCCATCTAGCTCTCATCCATCTGCTCATCCACCCACCATCCATCTACCTATGCCACCAACAATTATAGAGAAGTCAGCTAGGTGTCAGTCTCTGTTCTAGTTACCAGGATGCAATGAAGTAACAAGAGAAGCCAGGTCTCAATCCTTCCTTAAGTAGCTCACATTCTGTCGAAGGCCAGCAATAATAATGACATAATCAGGCAAAGAAAAGACAATTACAAGTTGTAAATAGGGTTTAACCAAGGTTCTGAATAATAGGAGGTGCTGACTTTAGAGAGACGAAAGCCTCTTGGAGGTGGACATCTTAGCGGAGACCTAAGGGGTGGGAAGAGGTGGTCGTCTCAGGGCCTGGGAAGAGCATTGCAGGGGGAGCAGCCCGTGCAGAGGCCTGACACAGGCTGGGGCATGGCTGCTCTTGGAACCGTCAGGTGGAGGGCATGGGCGAGGCAGAGTGAAGTGCAGCCCCCTCGTGGGCTAGGCGTTGGCTGTGGGGCCCTGTGGCACTGGCCAGGAGTGCAAGGAGCTGGTGAACAGGGCTGTGGGTGACAGGCTGGGCTGACGGGATGCTCTCTTTGCCAGCAAAGGCCACCTGAGCGCCATCCTGGCCATCAAGGGGAACCTATCCAACAGTGAGGCCAAGAGCATCCGGAGCATCTTGGATGTCAGCACAGGGGCGCAGGAGCCCTCCAGGTCCCTATTTTCCCTTATAAAGGTTGGTTAGCTTTTTCTGTGGCCTGACCTGCTTGTGAGTGCCCAGCACACCCCACTGGGAGCTGTTAAGAGCAGCACTGGCTCTCGGCTCCTCCCAGGTCTCCTGTGCTCTGATGCTGCTTCTGCCTAGCCCTGGCGGAGGTGCAGACCCTGTCAGCTGGAACTGGACAGACCTTGGTTTGTTTACACGTCCGATGGGGGCAGGAGCTCCCATTACGGGCAGCCAACCAGGTAACACCAAGGACTCTTTGTAAACAATAGCTGATCGTGTACACGCAAGCAAAGAACCAGGAGGGAGAGTGTGCCAGGCTCAGGGCTCCCCGGCCACCTCTGTCCAGGGCCCCTCCACCATCAGCCTCATGACTGTCCTCCTGGCGGGGGGGGACGAGGGCCCTCTCCAGCTCCCTGGAGACAGGGGCCGAGCCTCACCCGTCTGCCCTCTGCAGCCCAGGGCCGCCGTGAGCTGGGTTCAGCAAGGCTGGAATGGAAGACAGAACTGGAAGAGAACAAAGGAAAAGATGAACTCTTATCTGGCAGGGGCCTGTGGGGTCCTGTGTTGTGGCCACTGCCAGCATTAGACGTCATGTCCAGATGGCCCCACGGCCCCTACTGGCTGACCCTGCAATGGGGCCCTGAGCCCTCCCTCTTCATCCCCCAAGGCCTCAACCAGAGGGTGGTCCCCCAAGACCTTGGTGTCCACTACAGAAGGGCCCAGGACCTCCTGGGTCATCTCAGGCTCCCGCTTCCCAGAGGCAAGGACAGGCCCTGGGGGTGTCTCTGTCGGCCCTGCTACCCAGAAGTCTGGCTGAGGTCTGGGCAGGGGCAGGGCAAGCTTGACCTCTCACCTCTGACCCTTTGGCTTCTGTATTTATTTCCTATTGCCGTGACAGGTTTCCACAAACTTTGTGGATCAAAATTTGGTCTTCCAGTTCTGCGGGTCAGAAGGCTGACCCGGGTCTAAAATCTGGGTGTCGGCAGGCCTGCGCTCCTGGAGGCTCTAGGGGAGAATTGATTTCTGGCCTTTTCATTTTTCGAGGCTATCCATACTTCTTGACTTCAGGCTCCTTCATCTTCAGAGCCAGCTGTGGGTAGTTGAATCTTTTTCCCATCACCTCATTGAAGCCTCCCCTCTCCTGCCTCCCTCTACCACCTTTTTTTTTTTTGAGACAGGGTCTTGCTGTGTTGCCCAGGCTGGAGTGCAGTGGCCTGGTCATGGCATCAAGGCTCACTGTAGCCTGGACCTCTGGGTTCAAGTGATCCTCTTGTCTCAGTCCCCTGAGACAATCCCCCACACCCAGCTACATACTTTCTGTGGATACAGGATCTTATTCCGTTGCCTAGGATTGTCTGAAACTCCTGGGCTCAAGCCATCCTGTAGCCTTAGCCTCCTAAAGTGCTGGGATCATAGGCAGGAGCCACTGCACCCGGCCTGCTCTGCCGCTTTTAAGGACGCTTGTGATCGCATTGCGCCTACCCAGAGAACCCAGGTCATCTTTCTATTTTAAGGTTAGCTGATTAGCCACCTTAGTTCCATCTGCAACTTTAATTCCCACTGGCTGTGTAACCTAACATGGTCACGGGCTCTGGGGACTGTCACATGGACATCTTTGGGAGGCTGTTCCTCTGCCCACCGGAGCCTCCGTTCATCCCCTGCCCTGCAGAGCACCTGGCTGTACCCCAGGAAAATGTGAGCTCGTTTTCCTGCTCGGCCTGTGCTACCCCTAAGGCCCTGCTCCTCCCTGGGCCTGAAAGTTCCTTCTCAGCCCGACAGGGGGCCCTTCAGACTCAGGCTTGACTCAGCCCTGCTGATGCCTCTGCAGGGCTGAGGCTGGGTTTCCGGCGGGCTCTCTTGGCTCCGTCCCCTTTCCCCAGGTACTGGCTTACAAAGCTGTGGCCAGAAACTGGCCCGTATAGATGATGCCCAAGGTCTTTGTACATTTGTAGGAGTTCATGTGTTTGATATTGTTAATATAATAATTATTTTTTATAGTACTGCTTTTGTATGTATGTTAAACAGGCTCCAGGTTTTTATAGCTTGATATAAAACAGAATTCAGAAGTGACTATGGAGTGGTTTATTTTGAGAGCTGAACAATGATGGGGGGCCTGGCCGGGCAGCCTTAGCAGCTTCGCGAGCCTCTTGGGGTCTGGGCAAACCCTGTCTACCTAGGCTGTGTGTCAATCCTCAGCCTGTCCCGGCCCCCAGAGCAGCTCCTGTGGTCCAGGCTGTGTGTCAATCCCCAGCCTGTCCCGGCCCCCAGAGCAGCTCCTGTGGTCCAGGCTGTGTGTCAATCCCCAGCCTGTCCCGGCCCCCAGAGCAGCTCCTGTGGTCCAGGCTGTGTGTCAATCCTCAGCCTGTCCCGGCCCCCAGAGCAGCTCCTGTGGTCCAGGCTGTGTGTCAATCCTCAGCCTGTCCCGGCCCCCAGAGCAGCTCCTGTAGTCCAGGCAGGAGAGGGCCTGCCACCACCTCACTGAGCAGGAGCTTTGGAAGTGTCTGCCTGTAGGGCATGGCCAGTCACTTCGCCCTTCCGTGCCTCAGTTTCCTCATCTGTAAAAAGGGGACCATGACCCTTTGGAGTTTCCTTCACCGTCCTTTACTGAGGAAGAGGGTGGGGTGGACACGGGGCAGCCATTTCAACCCCATGCAAGGGACACAGTGGGACCTGACTCTTATGATTCTGGCATTGACCTGGAAGCTACGGCTTTGGACACAGGAGTTCTGGTTTGTGTTCAGAGACGGCCGCAGCTGCCAGGGAAGGGTGGGCCTCTCTGCTGCCAACCTGGGAAGGAGCAGAGTCCCTGGAAGGAAAGAAGGGCACCTTGATAAAGGTTGCACAGAGGCTGGGGAGGGCCCCGAGGGGAGCCCTGTGGGCCTGAAGAAGGGTGTGGGCTTCAGAAGGGCCTGGGACAGCAGGGAGCTAGGGTGGGAAGGGGAGGCCCTTTCCCGTGAGTTCCATTCTTGGGGCCAAAGCGGATGGCATGAGGCCACGGTACAGTGAGAGAAAAGGAGGGAGAGGAGGGTCAGGGCCAGTGCGGTTTGGCGCGGAGACCCTCTGCCCAGCTCCTGGACCGGCCGGTCCCTGTGGTTGCGAGGTCCTGGCCTTGTTGAGCCACGTGGGGAGCGTGGGCCTTGGGCGGGCAAGTTCCCGCTCCTCTCCTCGGAGCACAGGGTCGGGGGAAGTGGGGGCAGCGCGACCCTCCCCTGCATGGGCCCCCGACCCTGGGCGAGCGTGGGGAGAGACGGGGCCTGAGCCCCAGGGGAAGCTGTCAGCGGGCCCTGGCACACATTCTCCCACGGGGGCAGGCTTAGGTCCCAAAGCGACCCTCAGCCTCGCGGCGGCCAGGGCAGGCCGAGTCGTCGGAGCGCAGCGAGACCTGGGGCCAGGTGGGCACCCCGGGCTGCGCCCACCCCTGGCAGAGGAGCGGGTTCAGGGCGCGAGGCCCCGGGCGAGGAGGAAGAGGGTGCGGGCGGCGCCCTGGAGGTTCCTGCTGTTCCTGCTTTTCGGAGCGGGGGCCCGCCGGGTCACTGTCTCGCCAGCGCTTGGATCTGCACCAGTATCTTCTCCAGGAAAATCCTCCGGAGAGGAGGATCTGTCCGGCGGCGAGGAGCGAGTCCCCCAACGCGGGGACAGGGCGGCCGGAGCGGGGCCTGGGCCAGCGCCTGCTGTCTTTGTGCAAGGACGGACCCCGGGCCGCCCAGGTTCCTGTGAGCAGGGGTTGAGCCGGGAGGACGCAGCCCCAGCGGATCACCGGGCGCCCCTGGCCTCCAGCGGTGGGAAGCAGCCGGCCAGAGCCGGCTCCGGGACTGACGCTCCCTGCAGGAGCCAGGAGCAAGCAAACAAACAGCTTGGGTGCAGGCGCGGGGGACGGGCCCGGGGTGCCTGCGGGTGAAGGGGCGGCTCGAAGGGTCAGTAGCTGGAGGCCGGGTCCTGAGGAGGTGCCTGGAGCAGACCCGGGCTGGGCGCTGCAGGGGAGGGAGGAGCTTGCGGAGGCCGGCGGGCGGGAACGGGGAGGAATTCCAGGTTTTAGGCAAAGAAAGACGGCAGGGCTGGGGAAAAGGGATCGTGGACGGGAGACCCCGCAGGAGGAAGGAGGGGGCTGGTAAGCGGGCTCCTTCCAGCTATGGAGGGGGGTTGGAAGGGGCTGGAGACGTGATTTTCAACTCATGGGATTTATGGCTTGGAAAGACCCCTCCGCCCTGCAGGGGCGCTGGGCTCCCTAGGGGAGAGATGAGGGCGGCAGCAAGGGCCCCACTGTACAGTGAGACGGGGCGAGCTCTCGGTGGCTGAAGGAAAGAGCAGCCCGAGGGAGCCCGGCTGCGGAGGAACAGGGAGGGCCTGGGAGGGGAGAAAGGGCTGAGGAGGCGCTTGGTCAGGTTAAGGGGGAGAGGTCTGTCCGCACTCGCAGCTGTGCGCGGTGTCACCAAGCTGTTGTTCCCACAGTATTCTTTTTTATTTTTATTTGTTCCTTCTTTTCACGGGTGTTGACCCGAAGTATTTTCTGTCACGCCTGGCCACTCTGCCCTGGACCCTCAATCCCGCCGAATAGGACACATCTCCAGAACCCCAGCAGGAGCGAGCTGCAGGGCTGGCCTTAAAATCCTGCTTCAACAGGAGCCCCTGGAGGCCTGCTTCAGTGCAACCGGCCTAACCATGGCCTAACCACCAGGGCTCATCAAAGAGGCGGCCTGGATGCGTGGGACCTAAGCAAGATCAGTAAAGGGTTATCCCAATTTCAGACTCGCTCCCAGAAAGTCACTCTTGGGAGCTCTCTGTGGAATTGGGCCCCCTTCTTCTGGTAGTATGTTTTCAAAACTGACAGGGGTATGAAAGAAAAACTTACCCCGGAAAGAAAATTGGGTTGAACATTTATCATCTCATTTAAGTCTTGCAATGATGGCTATATGTATTTTTGCTAAATAAGTCTTCTATTAATTTTTTTTTTAAAGTTTGAGATGTCTGCAGAATGGGCATGTGGTTCGTTAGAGTGGCCAATACCCCAGTGAGTGACAACACTTTGTGTGTGAGGCCGTTGGCCGCCAGGCCATCTCACTCACTGCTTTGGGGGCATCATTTGCACAGCCCCTGCAGAGGGTGATTTGGGCTCCTGGGTCACGCTGACAAATGCAGGAACCTGTGAGGCAGCCATTCCCCTTCCAGGAATGTACCGTATCCATGTTCTACCAGCTACGCAAAGCGACTTGAGTGCCAGACTAGTCACTTCAGTTACTGTAGCAAAATACTGGAAACTCCCTAAATGCCCATGGGCAGACACCAGGGAAATCACTGCAGCACGCCCAGACAATGGAGTACTATGTGGCAGTGAAAAAGAATAAGGAAGTTCTCTCTGTTCTGATGTTGACATTCAGGACACATAATGTTAAGCAGAAAAAAGCACACTGCAGAGCACAGTTTGTGGTGTGTGTGTGTGTGTGTGTGTGTGTGTGTGCGCGTGCCTGCGGGGGGACAGGGTTGGATGGGGACAGAGGTTAGGAAGGAGCTGTTTGGCCGTATATCTGGTAACTTTTCATTATGAGCCATGTGAATGTGTTATACTATTAGCATTTTATAACTGAACATGTAACTGAGAAAATGAAAGTGGTGTTGCTGGAGATTGGAGGAGAGGGGAGGAAGATACTTTAGTGTCCGGAGGTAGGCTCGACCAGCCACGGCCAGCGCCTCCTTGAAGTGGGTTCATCAGCAACTTGTGACTTGGCGTGAAGCCAAGTTCAGCGCCAAGGTGCAGGCTGTAGTAACAGGCCTGGGTTTAACCAAGACTCTGGTTTTGCCAGGTGATCACTCAGGAGGATGATAGCTGAGCTGTGGGAGGGGCTTGCCAGGGAAAAGTCATGCTGATGGGCTGTGGGGTCTCACTTCAGGGAGGGTGGGGGGCATGCACGAGGGGCTGAGGGACTGCAAGGCAGCACAGGGTCAGAGGATGGGAGTTCTGGGGGCAGCCAGGGACTGCTAGGTACAGCCACTGGAATCAGTGAATGCAGGGACGGGGACTCTGGTCACAGAGGAGGACCCTTGTAACTGAGGTTGTGGAGGCGCTGCAGTTACCGGTGAGGACACAATTGGAGTGTGACCCTGAGACTGTGTGGCTGATATCGTAGGGAGCTGGGGGCTCAAGGAACTGGGAGGGGGCCTGTGGATGCTCATGGAGTGGTGGAGGGGGCAGTGGGCAGGGACTGATGTCCACTGAGAGTGGACAGGAGAGGCCCAGAGGTAAGCAGATGACCACAATGATGAGAAAAGCGGAGATGGCTGAGACGTGGCCTGCCCTGCAGTGTGCGTAGCCACTGCTCTTAAGGCCTCAGCCTCACCTGCTAGCGTCTGCCCCTGGCCTTAGGGAAGTGGACGGTCCCCAGATTTAGTGGCTGGATCAGGCTTGTGAGCTGCTGTGCCAGAGCCTCAGCTGGGAAGGTTGAGGCAGTGGTGACTCCAGGAGGAAAGGAGCCGGGGTGCCCTGATTCCCTGAGCCTTCCAGGTGGGTGATACAGCCACTGCCAGCAACGCTATTCAAAGGGGAAGGATGAGAGGCCATGCTGAAGTTCAGCCGCCTCATGTGGCCAGGCCCCTCTCTGCTCCAGGAGAGGCAACTGTGCCTCCAGACAAGCGCAGGTGGGTGGTACAGACAGACATGCCCAGGTGGGTGGTACAGACGGACACGCCCAGGTGGGTGGTACAGACGGACACACCCAGGTGGGTGGTAGAGACGGATGAGCCCAGGTGGGTGGTACGGATGGATGCACCCAGGTGGGTGGTACAGACATTGAACCTGCTTAAAGGACTGCCGTGAATCAGGAGGTCGCTCCTCTACAGACAGTCATTGTTGCTGCAGACTCACCCGGAGGGCCTGGGACAATGCGATGTCGGGAGGATGCAGGGACGTTGTCAGCCAAGACCTCCATCCAGGACTCCATTCCCGCTGGGTGGGGGGCGCATTGGAGGATTGCTCCGGCTGCCCTGGAAGGCGGAACCCACAGCTTCTCTATCAGTTGCCCCTGGGCACACGGGTCTGGCAAGATCCCAGGGGAGGATCCTGGATGGTGGGAACTTTC